TGCTTATCCTCTTGTCTACCAACTTTCCCACCCTACAAAAACTCTAAGGTTCATTTTAAAAGAGGCCACCAAGCTGGCACGACATGTTCCCCTCTGGTCCAGATATTCAAAGCACTGGGGCTGATTGCTGCAGCACTTTAACACATCCTCTCCATGTTGTTTTGGCACTTCAGTAAAGCATTGTCAAGCCTCATGCAAAAAGGGAAGTCAGTGCCAAAAGTGAAGCTAGAGCCTGCAGACACAGCTCTCTATCTGACACACAGCTTTTGTCTGATTTCTAGAGAGAAAAGGGAAATAATGATGAAACTTGTGAAATGACAAATATAACACGATTTCGTTTATATGGGTTAAGAACAGGTTTAGACACAATCCTCTAATGTTTACTTTTTGATCACGAACTAACATGACAGAACTGTCAGACCATCTGCTGCCATGTTCTAAAGTGTGTGTTTGTCTGGTAAGGACAAGACATTACGTAACAAACAATTCCATTTGTTGATGTTAGGCGACAAGTTTGCCAAGCTCATCATGAGACATGCTTGTCTCCGATGGGGCCTCAGTGTACTCGTACGGTCTTTCAGTGCTGTAGATCTGGGAAGCCTCGAGTTCCTGCCAGAATACAAAATACCAGATCTGTGCCTTGAAAAGAGCTCCAAGCAGAGGGACGAGCTGGTGCCCAAAAAAGAAAGAAACATACTGGGACTAATTATTTCTGCTCCAAGATTACACGGTTTTGACCTTTCTCAGGATTTCAGCACAGCATCTGATTGGGAGATTAAAGAAGAACAGCATTGATGCTCACAGCTCTGCTAATTATATTTAATGCAGAACAAAGACGTTTACAGCTGTAGCTCTGTGGTACACAAATATGTAATCCATTCATTGAATTAACTGTCAATGTTTTGATTGCCATTGTTTATTATCTCCACTAAGGAAGTTATGCATTCATTGCTGTTTATCTGTTTGACTGTTCTCAGGATTATGCAAGAATGACTGAGGCTGTTTTATTGAAAGTTGGTGGAGGGTGGGTTATCAGCCAAAGAAGAACTGAGTGACTTTTTGGAGCAGATTCAATCACTTTCTTTAACATGGTGAGATCGGGAATTTGCCTTGGCAGAGGTATGCTCTCTCCGAACAGTTACATTTAGCCCTGACCAATAAGAGAGTAGCATATCCATCACATCTGCAAGAGCTTCAAGGATGGCTGCTTAGAGGAATTAACTTTACAAATACAAAAAATTAAGAGTTTTTTGAGCTGTGCTGCACAGTTGCACACTTAATTTTAATTTTTTTATAAGAAAAGCAATGCCCTTATTTTTCATATGTCTGACAACGTTCTGGTTGACCTTGTTGTTTTTCCAACAGCTTTTAAAGAGCACAACACCAAACTGAATGAACACTCAGAGACCACCTTACTGGTATTGTCGTGAGGTGCCCTGAGCTGCAATGAGGGAGCATAAACTTTTCAAAAGGGCACATCTGTCAACAATCACACACTTTGTTCCGTTCAGTTCACCGTGCTGTCTGCCAAGACATGCAAATCAAATTTAATTCACGCTGCACAAAAAAGATCTGAATATCTAATAAAAATGAGGGCGAGTACATAATGTTGTTATGTGTGTTTTCTATGCACACTGGAGTAAAGGAGGAACAGGATAAAGAGCTTTGTTTCACGATTATTGGATTTTGACTCTGTGGGAATGGAATTATCCAAACAGTGAGAGGAAAGAAAACACTGAACCGGCCCAGTTAATGTGGAAAATACGACACAGGAAGTTCATTTATTCAAAGCCAACGTCATGAAAAGTTTAAAGCCTCATTAGGGGGTTTCTGACATTTTTCGCTCTCATTCAAGCCGACATATTAAATGTCATTCACTGGTGAGTCAAGATCTCTGCACTGAAGGAAACCAAATTCCTATACTAAGTAGATTCCAAGTATTTAGGGGCATTTAGGGCCAAATTGAAAGTAGAGAGATGACAGGGACCACAGGGAGAAATTGACACCCCTATCAGCTTCGAACATAGGCATTGCATTTCTCTAATTAACCTAAAATACTTTGAAAACACAAACAAACTCAAATACATCTCTACTATTGTAATATGTAAGTAAGGCTGAGGATAAGTAAGGCATGGGAGGCAATATAAAGGCATGTCTCCCATTTAATCCGGTGGTAAAATGAACAAAAACACTGTGCTGAGGATGTGCCGCCTAACTGAACTCTCATAAGAGCCAGGTGATCAGAGAGGGAGAAAGTAAATTAGAAATGTCTCCTTCCTCACCACTGACTGTACCAACAGAGGACAGAATCCCCCAGACTGCTTCAGTGGAGCTGCTCTGTGTCAGTAAAGGGTCTGAGGCTGAACTGCCTGAGCAGCTCCCAAAGGGTGACTGAGTGCAGCTGTCTGAATGTGGCTGAATGTGTGAGTAGCTGATGTTTTTAACGAAAATGTCAGCCTCACCAATGCTAATGAACCTTTCACAGCGTGTGTGTGCTGCGGCTGACCTGTATCTCCTCGTAAGCCTCGTCAATAGTGGTCACTTGGTGCTGTTCGTGTAGCGCCGGCTCGTCGCAGAAGAAGCACACCAGACTCTTGTCGGTGAGGCAGAAGAGCTTGACCTTCTCGTGGTCCTTGCAGGGATAGGAGCTCCTCTGGGCGTTAAGGATGGCGTCCAGCGGGAAGGCCGAGTAGCGCTCCACAATGTTGGACAACTTGAGACTTGGGGAGAGGAGAGGGTCGGCGAAGGTCCTCCGGCACTCGGGACAGTCTCGCACTCCGTGAGGCTCCTGCCTGCTCCAGTGCTCGGTGATGCACTTTCTGCAGAAGTAGTGCTCGCAGCCAAAGCTGACGGGGTCCTGGTAGATGCTGAGGCAGATGGAACAGAGGAGCTCGTCCTTCAGACAGCAAGCCATTTGCAAAGACGAAGACTGAGCGGCATCTACAGGGGCTATGTTCTGAGGCTGAGGGTTCTTGGTTTTAGTTTTCACTTCAGTGGTTCACTGCCATATACGAGTCCACAGACAGGATCTTCAGGAATCTTGGAAATTGACTTTAATTGACTGTAGAAAGATAATAAATAACAACAATAAGATTCCACTCATCCTTTATAAGTTAATAGAGGCATCTAGTGCATAGTCGGATATATTCATGGCGGAGAAATCATTAACAGGAGAAGATTATTTCAGTTACTTATTAACAACGTAGACTTCAATGACAGCCCACTCAACATATTATCTTACTCAAAGAGATTTCAGTGTGATTCAGAGTATTTTTCAAACTGCTAACATTGGTTACCTCTGCCAAGGAGGTTATGCTTTCCTCTGAGTTTATTTGTTTGCTCAAAGGAATAAGCAAAAACTACTGGATGGATTACCATGACATTTTGTGGAACTAAGCAGAAAGCGTCAAGAAAGAAACCAGTAAATCTTAGTACGATTCCAGAATTTGTATTACTTTCTTAAATATTGTGAGATGGTTAAAACATCTTCGTTGATTTCTCAGAGAACAATTCATGTTCAGGGGACTGGATCCAATCAAACTCTATTGAATTTATATGTGGTTTCATAGGGGGACAGCTTCACCTTGGGTATGAGGTATGTGCTCTATTGACTTCCATCCTATTTAAACCAGGATTTGAAAGTAGAGCTTTAAATTGCTTAGGTCATTCAGAGAACATTTATAGGAAAAAAAATCTTCACAATCTAGTTAATGTGAAATCTGCACAATATGACCTGTGTAAATTATTTCAAATAGTAGATGTAGCCCCACTTAAGCACGTGTAATCAGATTACTTTGAGTTTTATAAAATGAAATAATTGAAACAAAAACATGAATCTCAAGTTTGACTTTCGTTTCGCTTTGCTGCATCATGTCACTGTGGAGGACTGACTGATTTTTGCCTCAGATGATTGTCTGCACCAACCAACAGGCAAACAGGGAAACACCTGCAGCGGTGTTGTCTCCTCCCTCCTCCCCGGTGTTCACAAGCTTCCTTTTAAATTCCCAGGTGGAGGTTCGATGGAGGTTCCCACAGGATAACGAGCCCCCACACGCCGTTTGTGCTGTTAACACGTGGGGCGTGAAATGTCTCGATCCACCTCTGTAAACAAAACCGAGCAGGACCACGACACCTCCAACCCACAGCGGGAGGATGAGAGGGGGGCAGAGACAACACACACAAAGGAGGCGAAATACTAACTTAACAAGCGACTTCTTCAAAAAGATAAACCCAGGGGGGGTGTGCGAAAGCTCGGGGTGTGTGAATGTGACAGTTCACACGCGAAGGAATGGATGAAAAGAGAGAAGAAGACACTCAACTCACCCGCCTCAGCGCAGCGACATCGGTGGATCTGATACGAGCCTCTTTCAGGAAGGAGAGCAACACGCAGGGCAACAGGCGGAACCAACGCTGCTCGACCACGGGGGTGTGCACTTAGAAAACACAGGGATTACAAGGCTACTGCAGTGTCGGCATCAATATGAATGTCTGAAATATGAGTTTAGATTTATTCTGTTTATTAATTTCAGTGATTTGGTGAGTTATTGTAAAGCTTAACGAAAACAAATCCGAGTCTCACTCCCCTCTCTAACAATGGAGTGGCTCAGAATGCTCCGATAGCATAGCATGGTTAGCCACCTGGGTTTCAACGAGCTAGCGTTTTCAAATAAACGAGACATGAAGCGTAACTTCACCCGCAGGAGAAGATTAGTGAAAAATAAGAGCGGGAGCTGCCGCTGAAATAAACTGTCAGTGTTCACAGGGAAGTTTGTCATGAGCGAGGCGAGAGAGAGGCTGTAACAGCTGCCGTGTCCGTCTGTCACCAGCAGGTGTCAGGGTGGTCCGCATAGTGTCCACAACAGAGTGTCCGGATAGATGTCGTGTTTCTATCATGTGTCTATATCGGCTCCAAACAGCTATTTTTTTTAGAGAAGTCTTTGGTATCTTTCATAAAGAGGTGTTATTTTTTTTTTTTTCAAATGTCTTCAAGATCTTTAACATTTTTACAAAGGTCTTTAATATTGTTTTTACAAGGTCCTCAAAATGTTCACATAGATCTTCAATATTTTTCACAAAGGTCTTAAAAACTATAAGAATTCTAGAAGTCATTTAACACAACAACTTTATGTTTTGTAGTTATGTATTAAGCACAGAACCTTTTGTAACAGACTGTATATTTCACATTAGATAAATTGCACATCAAATCATTATAAAATACTAACATAAAATACTTACATAAAAAAAAGATGTGAAAATATAGATTTTATCACTTGTTACCCTTCTAAAAGTGATATGGCCAAATTTTCAGCCCTTTTTCATCTGCAATTACTTGTACTTACACTATGCCACAAATGGAGAGGCAATACTCACATCTTTATTTAGAGTATTCTATATAGACATACACATAAAAAAGTATTTCATGCTGGTGACTCATTTCACTCATATACCTTAACTTGCACTGTCCTGCACTGACCTCGGTGGCTGTTTGCCATCTTCTTGTTGTGGAATGCTAAAGGACTCCTCTTCCTCTCCAAAGGGGAGGTAACTGTCTGATTCTGTTAAGTGTGTGGGCATGACAGACGGTGTCCCGCAAGACCCGTTCCCAATGTGGACAGTGATGTTGACGTTGAAATGGGGACTGGTGGTCAGGGGGCTGATGATAGGGGGGCTGGTAGGCTGAGAGGAGGACTCTGAGGGGAAAGTGGGCTGAGATGAGGCAGGCTCTGTGTTGGAAATTAAAATCTTGGGCTCTGACAGAGCAGGATATGAATTGTTTAAGGCTACCGTGGACTGCAAAGGGCTGATTGACTCGTGGCTGCCACCGCTGTCTGTTCTTATTAAAGTTTCGGTGTTGATGCTGGACTGACTGTAGTCATTGCAGGCTCCCGCTTTGTCTAGAAGAGACTGTTGTTCTGGAGACGTAACTGTGAAAGAAATCAGCTGCGTTTCCTCCAAATGACTCTGAGTGATCTGCTGAAGAAACAAAATGGTGAAATGTATTATTTGAGTATATTATATTGTCACAACTAGACAGTGGCCACTTTATTAGGAACATCTGTACAGTCTAATGCAACCATCCAATACAGCTGTTCTGCCACAAAGTCCAGTTATATCTAAAATGTTCAGTTTTCTTGACCCTGTCACAGAGGTGTTGAATTAATTATAAGTTTTAGCACTGAAGTCATAGGTCATAGTGACAGTGCTAAATTGTATTCAGATTTTTCCCAGGATTCATCACCCTCATATAGTTATTATAGTATAATAAGGATAATAATAATAATAATAATAATAATAATGAGAATAATAAACTTTCATGTATAGCATGTTTCTTAATAATAATAAAATTAAAATAAAAAGCTCTTCATAAAAAGAAAAGTTCTCACAGTCTCAACAATAACAGTTTTTCTGTGAGGGAAGCGCTTTTGTATTGAATTGTGACGCATATATTCATTCTCACAGAAGAAAAGAAATAGATGACTCACTTTATCATCACTCTCACAGTTTCCATTTGCATCTACTTTTGGCTGAAATGTTGGGACATCTAGGCAAAAAAGCAGAGTGAACATGCAGTTAATGGTGAAAATTGATGTGAGAATGTTATACAAATACGTCCTGATAAAGATGTTGCCAAATAGTGGACGTTATCATCCTGTATTTCAAGTTGATACAGAAGTTGAATATAATGTAGATACAATCATAGCTTCCTCAAAAAAAGGAGCACATTTAAAAATCCCTTTTTTCCGCAGGATATAGTTACCTTTGCTCCTGACTGCTTTACAAAGGAATACCAGAATAACAGCGATGAAAAGCAAAATGAATCCCATGACTCCGGCAATGATGGCAGCTAACACAGAGGGGAACATGGACAGAACGAGGTAGAGAGGGAGAGAGAGGTAGAGGTAGAGAAAGATAAATATTACTAATTAGACCTCACAGCTTTCTCATGATGACTGCTTAGATACAGCAAATCAATTATCATACCCAATGAACCTCCAGGTGGTTTGTATGGTGGTGGGCTTTTTATTGTATGGGTGAATACTTCATCTGAAACAGAAGCGCTGACGGACAGCGTGGCGTCTGGGGTCGCTGAGACTGTGCTCCTTATTGTTCTTGGAGTGGAAAACAAAATGCCAGGGTGAGGCCCTTTGGTTGTGTCTTGAAACAATGATGATGGAGCAACCCCCTCCTCACACACGGTGTCTGATGTAGTATTGCCTTTTCTAACAACAGCCTTCCCATGACAGCTGTAAGAAAACAAAGCAGGAGGTCAAAGGTTTGAGTTTCTAAAGAGTTGAGTGCAGTGTGTGTCCTTCCTTCACTCACTCTGTGTGAGGCCGACAGGTTTCCGTGTTGGAGCTTGTGTTGGAGAACATCCCATCAGGGCACAGTTCACACTTCACATCTGAGTTCGCCTTCCCTGACAACAACATGAATCATCACACTTCTCATTTAAACTTTAAGATACATTCAAAATATAACATAGTACACTTTGGATTAGATTCATTAAGTTTGAGTTCATTGAGTCATATAGAGCTTAGATACAGTCGTGCTATCCACCACTAGTTCAGGCACTCAACTCGAGCTCTTACCATGTGACATGCCTCACTCTACACAATCCTCTATCATAAACACCTTTTCATTTTGGCATTCTATTTAAGCTGAAAAGATTTTCCATCTTTCCCTTTGCTTTTCAATGCCTCTGCTGCCCTGCGTCTGTTTCGTATTGCCTGTCGATTGTGCCCGTCCACCAACCCAGCATCCACCTGTAGGCTCCTTATTCCCCATTATATCTAATGTAATCATATCTGGGGATCTGAAGATGTCAAAGCCTAGACACCAAACTCTAACTATGCTCTGCTGCTGCGATAAACCTTTCATCTGACTGAAATATAATGCCATTCATTTTAAGACAATAATTAATACCAACATGCTGTATATAGAATCACTGGTAGATTGGTGACACATTTTCTTCCAACTGTAATTTGCTGTGAATGAGATATGTTCAATAAAATGGAAGGTGGTTCATTTTAAAAGGTTTTATCTTAAAACGTAAATATATAAGAATTACATGTAAGTTCAACACACCGATATGTGAAGTTATTGAAGAGTAGCAGGCACATACCTGGCAGAGACACTCCATAACCAGCTCTACATTGGCTGTAATTTCTACATTCTGCACAGTACGGGTTATCAAAGTCCATGATGCAGTACATCCCAGGCTTGCACACACACCCGGTCCGTGTGGTCGAGGAGCAGCGTTGGGCATATTGCAGACCTTTATCTGGTTATGTAGAGAAACATTTGTTTTTCCAACGGTAAATGTAAAAAAAACGAAAAAAGAAGAAGCAATAATTATGAACTGCTAAATCAGCATTATTTGTGCCATGGAGATTTGAGGGGCAGCTACTGACTTGATTTGCATTTGTTACAGGATAAGCACTTTTGAGCGTAGTTCCACTTCTCCATGTACTGGCCTGGGTCACATTGTTTACACACGCTCTCAGTGGCGTCAGAGCACTTCTGAATCAGTCGCTGTCCTGTTGTAATATAAACAAGAATGAATCCATATTAATACACTTCAGTCACCCACCTTACAACAGCACATTGACACTGTAACTCCACAAATCCATGAACACAAGCCCACTGTGCCAAGGTCTCGATATCTGTCTCTAAATAACTTTTTCCGTTTATCCTGAACAGAGACACCTTTTTTTTAATTATCGTACTTTGTGCATTAATATGAGTGTCTGCACCTTTTTTTTTTAATGACACTTTGAAAGTTGTACTCCTTGCTGAGTTCACAGGAAAACACTTACCAGGAGGGCATTTCTTACAACACAGGTCTTGTTCCCGGTACTCTGTTGTCGAGTTGTGACACTTTCCATCGGAGTCCAATCTATAGGCCTGAAAGCACACCGACAGAAACTGAGATGATGTTTAGCTTATGAACACAACTGACAACATGAAAGTCTTTTGTTTGTTGTTCAAATAATGTAAACTGTCATTTTGAAATATGGACATGTATACAATGTCGTGTCTGTATATAGAAATGTATCTGCCAAACATTTCTCTTTGAAATTCACCTGCTCTGAGGTAAACTGTAAACCTTCAACCAATCTATAAAACATTGAGAATCGACAATTTAGTCAGTGGCTAAGAGGAGGCGAACAATTTGAGGGACTTTTTCATTGTACCTGACCACCCACACCTGCACCCACTTGTCCCCTTCTGATAACACTCCTGGCCTGAGCTGCAGACGTGGTCAAACAGGCAGCCATTGTTCTGTGTCTGTAGGTGGTGCATTTCACATCTGCAGCATCTCCCCTCTCTGTGGAGCCCACTAAAATGTTTGGTCTCACTTGCATCTTTATTGTAACAACCACAACCTTAGTTTTTTACAAGAACATCATATATACAGTCACCACTGCATTGCTGCGTTGGATAGGTTCAGGGCTCTGTAGCTGTTCACACACACCTGTCCTGTGCATGCTCTAAAAACGTTTTCACCACAGCAATACCCCCCAATGACAAGCCAAAGTACGATTATGCTGACAGCAGCACAGCATTTCTCGAATTACAGGAAACGGAGGCGCCAACCTCGAAGCCCTCAGTTCTGAGAGCACAGACGTCTTCTTTGGTGTGAGGCTCCTTAGCACAGGGAGCAAAGATAAACCTCAGGGAAGTCTGAAGTTATTAATTACTGACAGTTTATCTAAAAGAACATTCTGTTTTTTCCTCTTTCTCAACCCGACTGCAATCTGAAAATAGCCAACGATTTAACAGAAGTGCACAGTGATAGTGAAAGAAAATAGATAATTGCTGCATTATTTCATAACCAGCTGTCTTAACAATCACACCAAAACAAAATATTACAGTTTCAACAAACTAATTATCTATTAAAATCGCCACAGTGTGACTCTAATGCTGTATAACACTGGCACACTCACTGATATTGATACTGAAAAGGAATGCAAGGAATGTAAGGGAGAAATCCTCTTTGTTGAAGGTGTCCCCTTTCTAGGACAGGGGACACAGGTGGATTCTATAATAACATGTTACAATTTACAAGTAAGGCAAACACAATTTAACATAATTTCTAATACTGATGTTGAGAGTGCCTCCTACTTCACATTCCTTAGGATTCGTTCAGTTGAGTGAAACTCAAACACACATCTCAAACAGTTCCCAAATCCCTGATTAAACACCACAAACACACGACCGACTGAAAGACAAACACAAAGCCTACCGTGGTGGTTCGGACACACAGCAGAAGTAGAAGTGCACGTATTTCCTTCATGGCTGCTTTAGAGCAAATTAAAGACTGGAGAGGATACAGAGACCACAGTGTGTACTGCGCTGATCATTTTTTCAAGGCGGGCCGACATTTGTGTGAAACACGCTAGAGCAATTTCCTCGACCTGAGTCAGTATTTGTAGGAAGGAAATGAGAAGGCAGGCACTGCCTCTCACTCTGGTCTGATGATCTGATCTGTGAACAACCATTATGAGGTTAGAAAAACTTTAAAATATACATTATACATGATCCTATAGTAGGATGACACACTTGAATCAGAACTGGTGAAGCTTTTTTCACAGCAAATGTTTTTAAATCCCATGACAGAATATGAATTTTATAACAATAACAATGGCTCAGTTCTATGAAGTGTCCCAGTAAAACCTCAGACTCAACCAAAAACAAATAAAATACAATAGCGGGGTCCTGGGACTTTGGTGAGTTACTCTTGTTGCAAAACCAACAGTAGCCAAAAATACTGGTCTAGTCACTGAAGTTCAAAATGTGAAGCACCTACATGGTCAATTTATATCTCATTAATTAATGATTATATTGCAATGTAACTGTATTATCATATAATAATAAGCAAGTGTTAGTGTGAAAATGAATTTATCCTCCATGTTCTGTGTCTCATTAATTTGCATGAATAAGTGGAAAATGGGCAGGGCTCACTTTTTGGCAAAGAAATAAACTCAGCAGAAAACACAGGAAATGGGAAGTGGACTCAGTCATACTTTCTCTTCTTATTTATAAACAGACAAGTCTGGATACAGTGCAGTCCCTCAAAGCCCAGTTTGGTGTGTCAACTGTACATCTACATTGTTTTAGGTTTTGTAGATTTTTATTATGGACATAGATCCCTATCTACTTTATTTAGAAGGTGTATTTGGGAGAAGAAGCTAATACTGAAGGTTGCTGAGCTGTGGTAGGAATATTTAGCTGTTATATTTGTGATAAAAGGATTAATTTCAACCAGAAACCCTGTGTGACTGCCGACCATACTGACATGTTACTGAGAAAGCCACAGAAGCCCACTTCACCCGTAACTACTTTATTCAATTCAATTTTATTTGTATAGTGCCAAATCATAATATACATTATCTCAAAGCACTATACATAGAAGGTCAAAACCTTAAGATCTTATTTAATATAGAAAAACCCAACAGTTCCCACAATTAGCAAGCACTTTGGCGACTCTGGAGGAAAAACTCCCACATTAACAGGGAGAAACCTCCAGCAGAACCAGGCTCAATGTTCGACCGGTTGGGGTGAGCAAAGAAAAAAGGGGAGGAGAGGAGAGATGGGTGGAAAAGAGGGGAGAGATAGTGGGGAGGAGGGGGAGAGAGAGAGGCGAGAGATCACTTGTGTGCCATCAGGTATCAGCTCTGACTATTTAAAGTGTAAACAATAACAGTGTAAAGAGTTATTATTTTCATCAAAAGCTTTCCCCTGATCAGTTCCCACAGTACAATCGCTCATGTGCCTGGTTTAATGCCAGTGTGTATCACTTTGTTTGTTCTTGCACAAGATGCTGACATTTCTCTATAAAGTTTCCCCTCCCACATCTTTAATCTCTCTCGAGTAGAGCAGTAGCAGCCCCTTGCTCAATGCTTATGTTTGTGATATTAAATACATTTTTATGATGTGAGCAGTATTTGACTTTGTTGCTGTAGTAAAAACAGTGTGTAAGATTTAGTTAAAAGGGAACTATTGGCAAAGTTTAATGCAGAATTATCCTCATGATGTTTTCACTAGTTAATTTCATCTAAATTATATGAATTGTTGATTTCTTTACCCTAGGAAAGGCCCTTTATATTTAAATACTTTGTATTTACATCAAGGGGGTCCTCTCTCCGGAGGCCGTGTTTTTTACAGTAGGTCATACTGGACAAACTGAACACCTTTTGAGTTTTTATGACAACTGAAGGCCACCACAGGTTGTTTTTCATGTTTGGAAGGGGAGGGGGAGGAACATGAAACTTCACCACTCATTATCACTAAATTGTACTTTAAAGTAGAAGTGAAATGTCACGTGTTTGTGGGTTGGCGGACAGATCTTGGATCCTGTATATTAGAAGTGAGTAAATAATCGAGTAGGAACAAGTCTGAGTCAGGTATTAACAAACTGCCTGCTTATATTTTTTCAGAGACTCAATTTTTATATCATATCAGTTCAGTGCAGATCATTCAAATCATTGCTGTATGTTAGTGTTGAACTTGAATCACAAGAAAAACAAGTAAATAAAGGAAACATGATTTATTAACTTTATTTACTTGTCTTTGACTTTTTTTCTCTCATCTTTTTTGTTGATTTTATTTTATCACACCCTGATACATTTTCTATACAAGCTAACCTCTTCAAAGACATTAGCCTGCATGACACGAACTGGAACATTTACAGTATTTGACATGAAGTAGACGTGGTTGTGATTTCCTGTAAAATGCAATACAGTAGGTACTGCCCTTGTTTCTACTGCCTTCATGCTACCGCAGTGAGGAAGTGTCAAAGGAAGTTAAAAACTGAAATACGTTTGAACCTTGTAGTTTGAGTGTACAGCTGGAAAGGGAAACAAACTGGCGTTGCTAAGCAACAGACATAAGTCTATACGACTTCCTCAAAACTGAGATTTGCTAAGGAAGCTCAAATTTTACTTTTTTTTTTTTTATCTTTATGTGGATAACAGTTCTCTTTCAACTTTAGCATAACACCTCTTGCTTCACAATTAAATCTGTTTGGAAAAAAATAAGAACTAAAAGTTAACTCCTTTCATCATTAAATATGCTGCTCTGTCAAATTATTAAGTAATCTTTAGGACCAATGTTTTTTGTCATCTAAGTAAACACAATCACTAGAACTGTAACAGAAAGGCATTATTGAAAAGCTTTGTTTACAATAAAAGACAAACAGATTATAGGCTGTATTCAAAAAAAAACACATGTCCCTACATCCTCTTTTTATAGCTTCAAATAACTCATTAAAGCCAAACTTATTGGACAAATGACCGCTTGACCAAACATTGGTGTGATAGGAACTACTTTTGACATTTTATTTGACATGTACCAGTTTGGTCCATGTCCCATCCACTAACATGGATAGGGCTGGGTTTCTGATTTATACTGCAGCCAGTCACCAGGTGATCAAGATGCTTTGGCTTCCTTTTTTGGGGAGCCGTCATTTTGTCCATCATTATATACAGTATATGGGGAATGATCTTGGATGGTGTCAAATGGCTCACAGTAAAACAATGACTTAAAAACTAATTTGGATCCTCAGCACCCTGGGTACGATGTGCTTCCTATTTTTTTCCTGGGAGAGAAGTGTTGTAAGTTGTGACGTGCCAACTTTGACACATTTGATATCTGGTCAGAGATCTGGTTCACAGGCACAGAGAGATTCTGAAAAATAATATAATCATCATTAGAATTTTGCCATTTTTTTATGTTTATGTAAATAATATTTTGACTTTAAGGTAACGTAGTTGGCCTGCAGTGTCTCACCTCATGTTCACTGTTCTGCAACTTTGCTGAGTTCTTTGCATTCAAACTGCTCCGCAGATCAAGGCTGCTGGGTGGTGGCAGGGTGCTCTGACCTGTGTGTGACCAGCCTGAGAGACAGTGCTGGAGAAGATTGAAAAGATCCAATAAAAAAAGAACAACAGCTTGGCAACAACTAGTCATGATCAACACTTTCCATTTCTGTTCCTGAGTTATGACATTGATGGCACAGTTAATTAGTTGACAATTAAAAATCATCATGTTGTGGATTTTCAAATTAAAGCTCTTACTCACCGATGGTAACCCCAAACTATCAGAAGAGTCAAAGCTACATCGCCGGTGGGCTTTGTACTTGTAAGGTGGCAAGAGAGTGGAGCGGGGGATGCTGACCCTTTCAAAGAAAAGAGTACTTATATTTAGAACTTAGTTATACAGTTGATGACAGAGCAATCTCTTGTTTGGCTTTAAAACTGTGCGCAACCTCTTAAAGCAATGAAGCCATAACATTTTCATGACATTGACCACCAAACCAACATTTGAGTCCATAGAAACATTTTGAACTATCAACCACCAATATGATTATTATGTAAATGCTAGTGCTGATGCTAATTCAGTCCTTCCAAAAAAATGCAGAGTTTTTTTGTGATTGTTGCGGGCAAAAATCCTTGATTATGCCGCACGTTTTCTTAAAAAATGCGATGAAATATGCAGGATATTTATGCAATTTTATGGGATGAAATTGCGGGAATTCACAAAAATTGCGGGAATTTGCGAAACTGCGGTTTGATGAATAAGAAGTGCAGGGTGGTCCCTCTTAGACAGTGGGATGTTTATGGCAGTGCAAGTGGCAACCCATGTTTCACAAATCTACAAACAGAAAAACATATTTCAAAAAGATCATTGGGCTGTATTATGTACACACAAACATACCACTCCACACACCCACACACACACACACACACACACACACACACACACACACACACACACAGACACACACACAGACACACACACACACACGGCAACAGGAGGAAAATGGCTGTTCTTGTGTGAAGTAAACGCAACATTTTTCAACTTTCTGCGCAGATATATGTGACTATTTTGCAAAGAAAATGTGGGGATTATGAAATCATGCAAGATTTATGCGGCGAAAGTGCGGCGTCTTGGAAAAAATGCAGCCCCTGCATAAATGTGTGGACTTTGGCTGATCATGCGTTGAATTATGCAATTGCATAATCGCATCTCTCTGGAGGGACTGCTAATCTTTTCTTTTGGTTCGACATAGATCAGGGAAAGGGTTTTTTTTTTTTAAAGGGCTGTCCACAAAAAGAATGAAAACTTCAATGATTCATAAAAGCAGATGATACCTGATAAGAGCTGGATCAGCAGTAGTGTGAGGGTGGGAGGACTTGTGCTTTCTGCAGACAGGACAGTGCTCCTGATGGTGAAGCGGTACAGGGAACAGTCTACTGTTAATCCTATAAGAGAATGTACCTGGACAAGAGGTAAGCAGATGGAGACAAGAGTTATTTCAGGTGTCGTTAAAAGAACAATTAGAGAGCTGTGAATCATGGTAGCATTCAAATAATAGTCTCTTCTTACATTTATGAGTGTCTGTGTTGGCTTCTGTGTCATCCTTGTCTGTTAGCAGCGTCAGCCCTGAATGGTTCTCCACAGATAATCTAGAAAGAGAGCTTATATAGTGATTTAATAAAGGTCAACTTGAAACAATTAAACAGTCACAAGTGCAGTGAAATAAGAAGCACTCACTCTGCTTGTGGGCTGTGGACACACTCATCCTTGTGGAGCGATCGGAAATTGCGGAGATCATTGAAGAATTCATCAGAGCGCTCCACAAAGGTGTCCTCAGCATCAAGGACTCCTTAGAGAAAAACTGAAAATCAAACATCACCTATAAACGAGTATGTGTTTGAAAGAGATGTACAGAGAGAGAACAATGAGGAATACCTGCAATCCAGTCATATCCAAGTAAGGGCTGCAAATGATGGCGATCAGGCACAGGGATCTCTACACATTCGTCAGAATGAAATGTGACATGGCTCCGCTCCTCCTCCCTCTATAAAAAACAAATATTGAAGAGAATCAGCTCTTCCCCGAAATAATTCCCTGTAGAATTTAAAATCATTCTACCCAAAAATTATATTCTGTGTGTTTGTCCTGATGTTTCATCTGTGTCTCTTCCCAAACTCATAAGTCATAATTTACTGTAACAAGTCCAAAAGTAGCTCCATTTAACCTCATTGGTTAAATACAGCCCCAAAACAGTCCTCTGTTAAAGGTAAGTTGTACTCTAAGGTGCTCGGGTGACTGTAAAACATTCAGTTATGAAACTTTAGCAGATAACATCAACATTAGACAATTAAACTTCACTTGGTCGGCTTCACAGAAATTAAATTACGTTGACAAAGTTGATCTGAGGGAACATGTTATGCTTATTTAAGGGCGTAATAATGTCTGTGATGGATTTACAGCAGGAGACCACCATATAATAAGGTCATGTGAGTTTCCAGTGAATGTCAGTGCAGGTTTTTTTTGCCTACCTCTTCTTTACGATTCTTCACTAAACAGGACTTGGTAATGTGTGATGTTGTGTCCTGCAGCCTGTCCTGGATTTGAAGATGTTGTTCACTGACATCCAGAATGTCTGATGAGTCCGTACATTGAGCGGTCTGCGATGGTGCGGAAACAAGGGAGTGCTGCTCGATGCCTGCTTGTCTCTCACGTGTATCTGATAGAGACTCTGAGGAACAGATGTCTCCATCAATGATTCAAGAATTTACCATTCATCACTTGCACATCCAGCATGTGGATGTGCAGATGTAGAGTCACAGAACAAAAACAACAGAACAACAAGAAACATTGTGCAAAAGAAAAAGAAAAAAACTAGTCGCTTCACTTTTTCATGAATATTAATATTTTATATTTTTGATATGGTTCATGTCACGTGACCCACTGGCTCCAAACAATGCTGACATTGCTCACCCTGGACAAACATGTGTTTTTGTTGGATTTTGGTGCTTCTGATATTTAATATGAATATTTAGCAAATAATGATTTAAATAGATTCGATCTCCTGTAACCTACTGGATTTAGTGCATGCCTAAAGTTTGAATAACACTGTAACGCAATATGAGGACTTGTGGACGACGACATGTCGTCATCAGGCGGCTCGCTCTGCTCGTATCAGACTTCACACTTGTTTTAAGCGCCGGGCCTCATCGAGAACTGTTTGATTACCAGCAAATCTCACGGCGGGTCTGGTGAGGGCGGGACCTCGGCCTCCATCGGCCCCAGGCACCGTCTCTCCGGTCTGTGTCCTCTCCTCAGCCTCGTCCTCTCGGTCCCTCTTTCGGCTGCAGCCGCTCACACGCTCCAGTTTCTCGCTCTGCTGCTTCAGCCGCTTCAGTAGATCTCTGTTACGCTCTCGCAGAAAGTCCACTCGTTCTCTGGAAGACATTTTTACACTGTGAACCACGGTTCAGTTGCGTTCATCGAGCTGCAGCTGAAACGAGCAGCGGAGGATTCGAACTGATCCCGGACTCCATAACAACGCGTTGACAACAATGATCTGATTGGCTGCAAGTGTTCTACGCTGCTTCCGGTGTAACCGACGGAGGTTTTCCTTAAAGTGACAGACACACATTTTACATCCAGGACATGGTGTGAAAAACAGAGGGCGTGTTTAGTTAGGCTGAGCCACTGGAGGGCACAGCTACCACAGGTCATACAGGTTAGTGGATGGGTAGAGGGAGGGATGGATAGATGGACGGACAGAGGATGGATGGATGAATGATGGATGGACGGACAGATGGATGGATGAATGATGGATGAATGATGGATGGATGGATGGATGGATGGATGGARGGARGGATGGACGGATGGATGAATGATGGATGGATGGATAGATGGACGGACGGACGGATGGATGAATGATGGATGGATGGATGGATGGATGGATGGATGAATGATGGATGGATGGATGGATGGATGGATGATGGATGAGTGATTGATGGATGTACGGAGAGGAGATTGATTCTGAACTTTGTGAAATAATATCAAACATCAAACATAAGTTAAGAACATATGAGCTTAATATAAACTAAAATAATAATTCAAGTCTTACAACAAAAATACACAAAAGGCAATATGGGGGGTGGAAGACCTGTGATAATTGATGGCCTACGTGAGTCGTGCACATCAAGTCTGCTTTTAATCAAACTATGTGGGTAGAAAAGATGTGAAGTGATATGGCTTGGAGCCCCAGCACAGTTAACACCTTTGCCCAGTTTCTGATCGAGTTTTGATTACAACAAACCCCAAACACAGCCAGAGGCATACAGAACTATCATCAGTGACAAGAAGAACGATGTGACCCCACAGAGTCCTGGTCTCATCATGGAGTCAGACACGGAGACTTCCAATCCACAGAAGACCAGCAGGAAATTGTCCAAAATGAAGATGAAAGTATACAAATAAAAGAGCAAAAATATGCAGAGTAATCCATCTCATACTGGTATATTTTTATTTATCAAAGTTTTCTTGATACAGATGACTCAAATGTAGTAGCTGGTCAACCATGGAGTAGATTCATGTAAATCGTTAAATACTCAGGCACAATACTCTGTGTTCTTATTTACCAAGCTTTATATAACCTTAAAATGTACTCAGTTATATTCCACTAACAACCTCCAATGAACCACTTTTAGAAATATGAGTGTGCTTAATGTCAGATGTACCTTTTTTATCAGGTCATATTGAAAATAATATTTAATAAACTAGAACTTGAGTTCAACAAACTGTGTTCGTTGAATAGATAAAACTAAAACTAAGACCACCACAGTTTGTTGAAGATATGAAGCACGCCTTTGAGAACTGAGTTAAGCCAAAACAGCATCAGTGCAGCTCTCCACAGAAAACCATATTAGGTAGAAAGAAGGAGTAAATGTCAGGGCAGGCAGTTCAAACAGGAAACTCCTACGAGACGGCAGCAACAGGTGCCAGGACAAAACAATAAAACATGGGTAACATGAAAGTCCAGAAGGTGTTTATCAACAAACTTATCCCATATATGTACAACCCAGGATCCTTCTTTTTGTAATAATTCTGGGTTGAAATGGAGGCCAAAGTATAAATGACTTGTTTTGAGATTTTCAGCATGTGGAGACACACTTTACTATCTGACTGTGCAGCCCATCAGGAGACAAATCGGCAGAAAGAAAAATCCAATTCAGGGTCTTACATCAGTCATCACCCATACATTTTACATTTACACAGATTATAATGTACAATTTTGATTGACAATGTCAGAGATCACAGTTTAATCATTAGTTAATTATTGATATTTTGCAGTGGTGTTGAACTGGACATCATTATATTGAGTACAATACCCCCTCTATCTTATATACCCAAACATGTTCTTTTATTAACACATGATCTTACACGCATTATACATCATAAGTATCATAAGGTGTTTTATGTTGGATTGCATTCGATTTAGCATGCATAGATAAAGTTGCGAGTAAATGCATGTACCAATTCATAGATTAACTGAACAGTTCTTATAACATGGTATTCAATTTGACATTAGAATTGAAATTTGTAATTTGAATGAGGAAATTTACGAAATAAAATGTACAACAAATAGTAATGGTTTAAATGGTCCATGAATCAAGATCATTTCCAACAGGATTAACAAAACAATTTTTCTAAGATGCATGCCCATTTCAGTATGTTTGTATAATTATGCACAAATCACATGACACTATATGTGATATCCCGTTAGGACTAAGTAGGTTGAGGAGCTCGTTATGCATATTACCAAATCTCCACCATCTGTACATGTTCATGTTCAATCTGCATGCAAGAGATAATCATCATTTTATTTATATTGACTGATGGTTATTGACTTTCTTCTCACGGTGTCACTCTTCAAGGACATGTGCCTGTGAAAGTGTCGACAGTAGTATGCATTCAACCTCTGCTAAAAGGCTTGATGGCATTAGTGTATTTACATTAAACCTGTCCATCCATGATGGCACTAATGACAGTGTTGCAGGTGTTGCAGGGTCACAGCCATAATCTTATGCCTGATCCCCGTGGTGCGAGTGGTGTGGAACTGCGTGGGCGAGCTGCTGCTCAGTATTCCAGTCACGGCTCGTTTGCACTGAGAGCTGTCCAGGCCAGTCCAGTATGATTAGTTGACCACAGTAGTGTGGAGTTGCACCCCATTATCATTTAACGGTGCCAGTCATGAAGTCATATACTCCTCCCTGTCTCTCTAATTACACCCCTACTGTTGGGCTCCAAGCAATTACTGCCTGCCGCCAGAGTGCTTCATTGTTCATTAGGCACAGATAACCAACACACCAACAACAAAAAACAAAACAAAAATTGATCAAACAAGAAAAATATGACCTACGAAATATGGTTTTGATGCCATTACCTAAGGAAAATAAAGGTGTTTGTAAAGAAAATGGTGGAAAACAAATATCTAACAACTCGGAGAAATCGGGGGCAGTTGAAAATTATTGAATGTATTTTATGTTCCTTGATATGAATATATTTTGAATCTTTGTTTCCTGACCTGTGTTTTCTTCTGTGTGCTGCCTGTCCTGTGAAATGAAGGTCTGGTAGAACTACCACATAAACAACAAAAGACCTTTTGCCTATTGTTTGACTCTCTGTAGCCTTGTTGCATTCATGTCTTCCTATGAACCCAACAGATGTGTTACTTGAGTATGAACTTTATGATTTGCGTTATTCTCTCATGAATGTTTATACTGAGTGTAAGAAAGACAGGAGGGAGGTGGTATCGAGAGGCTGCTGTGAGGATGGCTCACAGTAAAGTGTCCAAAAAGCTGTAGCTTAAGAGTTATTTGACAAACTTAAGGACTTTATAAATACTCTGGATTACCAGCCAGTGCCCCAACCTGCTGTAGCCACCAGCCTGTGTCTGAGTTGGCTAGTCTCTAGCCTGCTTCCCAGTCAGCATGTCTTTGGCCTTCTAGCCTCCAGCCAACCCCCCAGTTGGCTATCCTCCAGCCATGCTAGCCCCCAGCCAGAATACCTGTTATCTATATTCCATGAGCAGTCTCATTTCCCGGGAACTCACTTTGCTTCTCCTTGGAGGTATCTCTGGATCTTCACCATTAAGAAAACATTGGTCTTGAAGATTCTCAAAGCTTGCAGCACCATAGAGCCTTAGTTAGGGTTAACTAAGGCTCTATGGTGTCCCACAGCCTTCAGACATCCTAGTCTGCCTCTGCATCAGAGCTTCTGGCTGACACTCTGTCTGCTTCTGCATTGGGGGTCCCAGCTGTCATCCAAATCTTTTCTTGTATCAATGACCTTGTTGACTCCTGCTTCTAGTTCCCAGTTGGCGCTGGTTAGGGTTAGCCCAAGCCCTTGCTCAGCAAACACCTACCCTGGTTTCCAGTCAATTGCAGTCTCCAGCAAACTAGAGCGTGTGTAAATTCCAATTATTAAGATATCTTCAGTGCTTCTACCTGACTTAGTGTTTGTTTCCTGTAATCCTTATATCATGACAAAGATACCTTTTTACTTTGTGACATGGAACATTATCATGGAGTACGTACCCATAAGAAGATGGTAAATTAAGGCTTTAAAGGGATCCACATGTGAGCAACAATACTAAAATGATCAACACTTGACTGTGAGATTCAAGCCATGATTGATTGGAATAAGGGCTGAGACTGTGCCAATCATACAGGAATCATACTGTTGATGCAAAATACTGACCCATTAGACCAGGCTACATTCTTCCAGCCTTCTTGCGCTCGGTTATGTTGACCTTGTGGTGACTGAACCTCTGAACCTTCTGTTCTTGTCTGACAGGAGAGGAAAATTACACTCATGTTGAGCTGTTTGGTATTTCTTATCAAGTAAACCCATTGTAGAAGTTACCGGTCAAGATCCCTCTGATAAAATGTTGCTTTAGAGAAAAAAATGTATCACCCGTGTGTGTGTGTGTGTGTGTGTG